TATATATATATATATATATATATATATATGCTAACTGTATGTTGTATCCAACAATCAAGTTAAGAGAATAAGATATGAGCTCGAAGAGACCATCTCTCCTGTGGATTAGTCCCGAATCTCGAAAATAGCTTGTATAAAGTGTGTGTGATTTGTTTATGTGTTTCGTTGGTTAAGCTCGAGTTATTAATATGGTATCAGAGCTTTCATTTGGTGATTATGATCTTTTTGTTGTTTGATTGAACTCCAAGAATTACGCTCTGTGGGAATTCCAGTTTTGTGTGTATGTGGAGGCAAAGCAGTCAAAATTGAGATTTTACCTAAAATCGAAAACTGGGGTAAAATTGGAATCTTAAAATTGAATCATAAAATCATAGGATTTTAAGTACCATATAGAATATTACATATAATAATATAATTAAGGTAAATTATTAATAACACAAAACACATAACATTTAAAATGATAATTCTCAACATTTTTTTATAGGAGATAATTCTCAAGATTAATGTTCCAAAATCACAATTTTAATTGCTATTTAATGCGTAACTCAAAATAATTCATGATGAAGGGATAGAGCACATGGATTTGGCTCTTGTTTTCATGTTGTGTCTAGGTAGTTTAACTCAAAGTAATATTTCGACATCGTCTACTAAGTATGATTTAAAACTAAAAATAATTGAACTCCAATAAAATAAATAATGCTAGTGGCTTGGTACAAATATATTCATTAATAAATTAATTAGTTAATAATGATGTTAATTCTCACATACTCCTAATATTAGGACAAATGCTTTACCAATAAGTTAAATGGGGTGAAAGGAAAGGGATTAACCAAGCCCTAATTTGGTTATATTTATTATTTTAAATGTTTTTCTAATAGAAAAATATATGAGACGATTTCCATCATTGCTCTTTCCGCCGAAACAGTTATGCTTATTTTAAATTAGCTCAAATCACCTATTTTGTTCTCATACGATCAAAATTCCGATTTAGTACGATTTTACGATTTTAACGATTTTAATCCCGATTTTAAACGATTTTCAGGTCCACAAATTTTATAGTAAAATCAGGATCGAAATTTTTAAGTAAAATCCTAAAATCTCAAAATCCCGATTTTGACTGCATTGTGTGGAGGGCAATAGCCTCCTTGGTTTGATTGATGGCTCCTAGTAGAAGTCGGCTACTCCAACGATGGAGGACGACATTGCTAAGTGGTCCCAAAGCGATGCACGTGTTCGGTCATTGATCTTGGTGTCGGTGGATTCAACCATTATTCTTGGTCTTCGGTTGCTGAAGGATGCTTGTTCGATGTGGAGGCATCTTGAGATCACCTCAAGTAGGGGGATCGTGGTGTTTCTACGTACTACAATGAAGTCCAGGATTTGTGGGCAGACTAGACTTGCTCACTGCGGCCTTGTGACCGAAGGAAGCACCTGCTGAGGTCATAGAGGAGCGGTAGCAGCAACGAATCCTTCAGTTCCTGATGCATTTGCATCTAGAATTTGAATCAATCCTCTCTACTCTCATCAATCATAATGAGATTACCATGGATGGAGTTCTTGATAAGCTGCTTCGTGTGGAAACTCGTCTTCGCACACAATCCAAGTTGAATGCGTTCTCTGGCAAAATAGATGTTGTCTTTGCTGCGTCTGTTGTGTTGTCTCTGTCACCAGGTCAGGCTGATCAAGCGTTTGTTGTGGGTCATCCCCAATTTCAGCAGCGAGTGCCTGTATTTGAGTCGGAGTGCCATTGTCACGTGAAAGGTCATCTGCATTAGCATTGTCAATAGCGAAATTTTGATTCTATTTTAAAAATCCATGCCACATCCTCTTGGATTGTCCTTAGCTTGTTCATCCACTGGAGCTCACTCGAATCCAGCTGGGTGGTCCTAAAACCCGGTATTTGTCGCTCAACAGCCACAACCTTCTGCTAGTAGCTCCCTTGTTCCTCCCTCACTCCCCAAGCCATTGAAGGCCTTGTTCATGCCGCTCTTCAGTGTTCTGTTCCTACCACACTAAGCTCCACCTTTGCCACACTTCAAAACTCAGGTAATCTGAAACCATGGCTTCTCGATTCTGCGTTTTTTGACCACATGCCTAATGATACTTGTGTTTTGAAAGATGTTGTGTTGGTTAAAGAAGTTACTATACAGGTGGCCATTTGATAAAGATTGGGTGTTACTGGTATATGGAGTGTAACGTGCCCTTGATCATTCTCCCTAATAACTTGTTTGTACCTAAATTGTTTTCGAACTTTATTTTTGTTGGTCTGCTCACTGAACAAGGTTATCGGGTTGTGTTTGCACCATTTGGTTTTATTGTGCAAGAAGAAAAGACGAGAGGCAGGTCGGGCACGAGAGTAGACTTGGTTGTGCTTTCCAGTTGGTGGAACTCTCGGACCAATCATCAAGTTTTCAGTCCTTATCCATGTCTCCTTTGCGTTCTGTTTTTCTTGTTCGGGTATCTCAGGTATATCTTATCAAAATTTGACATTCTAATCTTGGCCATCCCCATTCGAGTCGCCTTGTATCAATGGTCAAACTTCGTCTATCTTGAAATAATAAGATGATTGATAATTCCTCCAAGCTTATGTGTACTAGTTCTGTAGAAGCTAAGTCTATCGACAAAGTTTCCTTTCTAGTGTTACTATTATCAATGATTCGTTTCACATTGTTCATAAGGATCCTTGGGGACCTTCCTGCGTAATCTCTAGGTATGGCTATTGATACTTTGCTTTATTTTTGGATCATACTATTTTTTTTTTGTTTAATTTTTACGTCTGAAATTGGACCTACTTTTTGTTGCTACTGAGTTTAATGCCATGGTCAAATCTCAATTTTGAAATCAGGTGAGAATCAATAGCTCATATGAAGGGGGTGAGTTAGATCTAATGATATTCTAAACTTATATCGCTCCTTTGGCATGTTGTTTTAGAAATCGTGACCCGGTGTGTGCCAACAAAATTGAGTAGTAGAAAGAAAGAATCGCCATATCTTAGAAATTACCCATTCTCTCCTTTTTTTATATAAAACATGCCTGAATGCTTTATTAACCTGAAGCAGGAGCGTTACAGTCAATTAATAATTGAGACAAAAGGAAAATAGGAGGCCTCCCATCCACACTTCAGTCTCCTCCCACTTGCACAACAAGTGAGCCATAATATCAGCTCCTGCATTTCCCTCTCTTCCCTGATACTGCCAATCCACCCTCCCCCAACTGCTGCTCTCAAACTGAATCTCTTCAATCACCACTCCCAGCTTCGTCTTCCATTCCACTTCGCTATTCAACCGCTCCACCAAAACCTTACAATCTGACTCCATCAAAACTGGTTCAAATTCGTTCGCTTTGGCCAATTGTAGCGCCCGTAAGAACGCAGCCGCCTCGGCCATTTCCGCCGACCATGACACCCTCCGCGGACACACTGCTGCCATATGGAATTCACCATTCCATTCCGCATGACAAGCCAAAAACCCACTCTCCCATCCTTCAGAACCGCATCGACGTTCACCTTGTACTTCCCAGGCGGTGGTCTTTCCCAATGCGCCGACCTAGGTCTTGGATTGGCCGACATCAGCTTGTTGTTCAGCGTCTGGAAATCATCCAGGTAACACTTTGCTCTGGCTGCTATTTCCCATTCCTCCATCATAGGGTTATTGAATAGTTTATTATTTCTCTCTTTCCATAGAAACCAGATAGTGATAAGGAACCCTTCAACTTCCTCATTGCTCGCCTTCTCAAGAATTTCACACAACCATTCTTCACATCCCTTCTCTTCCCATTTTTTGAATAGTCCCTCGAATAGACAAGGTTTCCAGGCCCTACGAGCCCAGTCAAAATCTCTGGTGATATGCTCTTGAGTTTCAACCAACACACAGAAAGGGCAATCTGCATTTGCCTCAGCAATTCTCCTATTCAGATTAGCTCCCATAGGCAAAATGTTTGATCCCCAACGCCACACAAACACTTTAACTTTCGGTGGTAGCTGCAATTGCCATAATCACTTCCAATTTATCGGGATGTATCTTTCAATAGAATTCTCCTCCTAAGCTCGTCTCCAATCCTTATAACCCGATCGAACCGTGTATTTCCCTGATCTGTCTTTGGCCTAAATCCGTGAATCCTTTTGATCCTGACGAGGAATAGGTATCTGACGAATTCTGTCTCTGTCTTCTGGTTGGAAGTGAGCTTGCAAAAGGTTTCTCTTCCAAGACTTGGACGGTAAGTCCATAAGAGCACAGACTAGTATTCTAAACATCACAAACTAGTATCCAGATAGCAGATACCAACTAATATCCACAATCAACCAACTAGTATTCAATATGGATACTATTATGTGTTAACTGGATATTCTTATGGGTTATCTGGATACTAATTATATGTTGTATTGATACTATTCTGTGTTGTCTAGATATTAGTTTGTGAATTTGGGATAATAGTTGATTCATGGTGGATATCAGTTAGCAAACTTTGAATACTAGTCTGTGCTCTCTAGATACTTTAGTACTTGGATACTAGTTCATGTATTTTGGATATCAGTTAGTATCTGCTAACGAATTTTCAAGTTAGCAGATTAACTTTTCCCCCTACTACGATGCTTGCCTTCTTAGTTCTTACCCTCATCTTAATCTAATCTAGATGCATAGCTTTAAAATGACTTGAGGTTGGTTGTTGTTGAGTTAACAGGAACTGGAATTTGGATGGCAAATAGTGCTGGGCACAATTGTTGGATTCTTGGGAGTGTGGGTGGTGTTGGTGGAGGTGGCATTTTCGTTCCTATGCTTAGCCTAATTGTTGGGTTTGATCCCAAATCCTCAACTGCCATCTCTAAATGTAAGATTACACGTTTTGGAATGACAGTAAAGCTAAAGACTAAGTGGCATTGCTGAAGTTAATTGAATTGATGAATGTGTGTATGATAATTTTCTTGTCGTTTAGGTATGATAATGGGTTCAGCTGCATAAACTGTGTACTATAATCTTAGGCTACAGCATCATACACTTGACATGCCAATCATTGATTATGATTTGGCTCTACTGATCCAGCCCGTGCTTATGCTAGGAATTAGTATCGGTGTGACTTTTAATGTCATCTTCGCCGACTGGATGGTTACTGTCCTGCTTATTGCTCTGTTTATAGGTAATAAATCTTCTCAGAGGCAATAGCACTGAAGAGCAAAGGGGAGTATGAAGTCGCTTGCGAGCACGCCCACTCATGCTGTGTCCTGCTGGCGAAAATTGACAAGTTCAAAGTGAATGGCAGTGGTTCACCTGGATAGACTATGAGAAGTTCCACGATCTGGTTAGCAATAATAAAACTGTTAATAGTTCCAAGTTACCCCCAGCATAAGCAACTTGACCTAAGTGGATAAAGAACTAAAGGGCATTCCTTTTCCTCCCTAACTCTTTTGCAGGTTGCTTCTGGGAAATCCTTTGACACTACAGATTATATGGCTGCAACACCTTCGTGGGCTGTGTATGGAGCTGAAGAAGGAGGGTTTGATCCTGTTCAAGCTCGGTATAGGAAAGAGCAGAATCATGGACCAAAGGCCTGAATCTTGACCGATCAGGTTTGAGAGTCGGGTCTCTGCTTAGATTATTTTCACTAAAGAGAAGATGAAGAAGACAACAAAGTTTAAATCAAAGCAGCCTTGCAAAAAATGCACAAGGTATGTCCTTGAATAACTAAGAACTCATTTCCAACTCTCTATGTTTGTCAAACCAAAAAATAAACCGTCAAAGGCTGCACTTGTTGTAAAACATCCAAGCTAAAAGATTCTGTCCCATCAATTTCAATTAACAAATAACAAAAACTGAGTCCTTTTCAACTCCTTGCTCTGGATGTTGTTCAACTTCTTGTCCTGTCTGTGTTGTTCAACTTCTTGCCATGTCCCCTCTTCCGAAACATAAAAAAACAAGATAAAAGAACATTGAAACTGTAACTTTTAGCAAAGGTTCTCACATAATATATACATTAGGATGCATTAGATTATTTTCACTAAAAAAACCTGTTGGGTCCTCTCAGATAGTCGTTCAGAACATTGAGTAGAAGGCTCCACACTAGGTTCCGTATGCTTATTGGATTTCCCTTGCTGCTGATGTGTCATAGTACTACTCCTAGTACGTGGCCCAGTCTGTTACAAGAGTAGAAATTAACTCTTAAGCTGATAGCTACTTCTACCAAATAGAAGAAAATTTAGAAAGCAAGTGTTGTGTAACCTTATTCAGCTTCGGTATGTTTTCCGTAGGCTCTACATCAGCATCGTGCTTGCTGGTTCGCTGCTTCTGATATAATCATTATAACAACACTTAGTTTTTAAGAACTATTAATATTGATAAGAACTCAAATATGTTTTATCAATTACCTTCTGGGGCCGACCACTTTGGTCATTGTCATCATCTCCATCATCTCCATCATCACCTCCATCATTGTCCGCAAAATCTATATCATCGTCATCATCCTCTTCATCAGACGAAGATTCTGTAGCTGGCGGCACGTAGCCTTCGGGTTCAGGACAAGTCTTAATATAATGACCGTCCCTTCTACCGCATCTCCCACACTTCCTCTTCTTTTTCTTATGTTGTTTTTTAGCCTTTCCTTTTCTACATCCCTTGAACATCACTTTTTTGGGGGTGAGGACTCTTTCGAACTCCTTAGGTATTACCATCGATTCCCTTTCAGCCGGAGTTGTTCTCATCATTTCCAACTTGTCCCTCACTGCTGTCAACCTCCCTCGAGCAACCTGGAAAGATAGAGGAGTCTCTGCCCCCAATAGGAAAATACGTATAGCCAAGAACTGGAGTGACCCATATCTGGTGTTGAAAGAATGATCATCCCCCAACTTATGAAGACTTTTCACCCGTTCTTCTTTCAACACACAGAGCATATGAGTGCATGGAATTCCAACACTGTTAAATTTTTTACAGCTGCACTCCATATCCTTTGTCAAGGTTGTATTTTACCTCCACAACCTTCTGTTTGTTGAACATACTTAAACTGTAGGTGTGTATGTTTCCGTCCTCAGATTGATTGTTCTTTATGCACCCAATAACCTCGTCTAGTTCACTTCTGAATTTAAGAAATGCAGCTTTCGAGAACAACTTAACTGCACTTTCTTCAAGGGGTCTAAGCATGGTGCTCTTTAGCGGGGTTACACCATAATTAGATTGAAAATCTAATTTGATCTCTGTTTCCCTCAAATCTCTACACCAACGGTCATACTGAATGAAAAAGTCAAGCAAACAGTGTCTCTCCTCCAAATATCTTCCAACAAATGAATTTATACCTTCATTTCTTGATGTGGTTGTCAGCCCGGCAAAGTAGTGGGAGCGCAAGTATGTGTCCGCCCATTCTCCGCGTCTCCCAAATAAATTTTTAGTCACCCATTGGTTGTTTTGTAGACCACATTTTTCCACTAATGCCTTCCATTTCTCTTCAAATTCTTCTTGCTCATAATCAGCAGTTACAAATGTGCTCCATTGGGGTTCGAAGTCTGGGCTATTCTTCACCTTGCCCTTGATATTCTTTTAAAGATGCCATGCACAAAGCCGGTGTGTTGCATCTGGAAACACAGTAGCAATGGCATTCCTCATTGCTTTATCCCCATCTGTTACAACTGTATACAAGTCCTTTCCACCCAACATTTCCTTCAATATCTCCAAAGCCCACTTGTAGCTCCCTTCAGTCTCATTAGCTAACAATGCACTCCCAAATAAGCAACTCGTGAAATGATGGTTGATACCTGAAATAGCATGTGCTTATCAACTTGTTTAGAGATTAGAAAACTGAATATATGAACCAAAATTAGCACTAAGGTGTATACCTGTGAAAATAACAAGAGGCATATTGTAAATATTTTTTTTGTATGTCGTGTCAAATGCCAACAACTCTCCAAAGCACGAGAGGTCAGCTATGCTCATACTGTCTGCCCAGAATAAACTGTGGAGCCTATTTTCCTCGTCAGTAGTGTATCGGAGGATGAAGTGTGTGTCCGTACTTTTCTTCGATTCTAGATAGGCCAGTGCGGCTGCCGCATCACTAGGACATAGCCTTTCATTGCGATCTCGGGTGCTGAAATTCATCCCATCTTTTACTGTGTACCCAACTTTGTCATGTCCTCGAGCACTATGCACAGCAAGCTTTATGATTTGAGAAGGTTTCATACCTGCATTCTTCTTAAATCTAAAGTCTGCCTTGTCAGCCTCTGTTAACCCTTGTTGTGATCTCAGGTGATGAGTACACTGCCGATTAATTGGCATATGGTTGTGATCTTCTTTAAATATATCCACTATCCATTTTGAATCATTCTTGTTAAATGCCACACGCATTTTTGCTTTACAACCAAATCTGGTCTCCATGGGGAGTCTCTCTTTTTCTCCCCTTTGTTGGGGGCTCTATGTCCCTCACAAGAACAAACGAAAGCTCTAGTAGTAATCTCTCCCTTGCTGTTCCGAACTTTCTTTGAGCGCCTAACAGAGAATCCCCAAGCCCTTGCATAATCATTGTAGAAGTTGTAAGCTTCTTCGAAGTCATTAAATATCTGGCCGATTTTAGGAGGATCTAAAATCACATCTTCCATCCCAGTCGTTTCTCCATTCAGAATGCCATTGTCGGTTTCTCCTGTTTCCTCTAAACTCTCAAGGTCATCTTCGATGACACTGTTACGAGGATGTTCTTCTTCCATCGGTATAATGGCTGCAAACTTCTTTGGTTTAGGGTCTCGGCAGGGTGGGATATTAACTATAGGTGGTTTGGTAGGGTTGGAGGCGGCGGAACGTGTATGTACGTAGAAGAATTATGCCCAACCTGCTGCTGGAAACCTGCTGGAAACCTATTTTTACCCCTCTTGTCGTTTTGTCTTTGTTAAGAATGATTATTTTAGTACTTAAATTTAGGTTAGTTACATTATTATTTTAATATTTTTGGTAGCTTAACCTTCCACTTCAATTAATTATCCAATGCTGCCATGTGTAAATTGATTCATTTATTTTTGCCTTGTGTAATTATCCTTGCCGATCTTCTGCCATGTGTAAATTGATTCATTTATTTTTGCCATGTGTAATTATCCTTACCGATCTTCTTCCTCCCAAAACCTTCCATATTCATCCTTGTGTGTTCTGTACAGAGGAAAAAATGGGAACACACTCTATCTCCCTTCCTCTGGAATTTCCCCGCCTTTAATGGATACCAAATAATAGAACTCATTCATCAATCATCATCACGTCATCTGTATGTTTTAAACAATAATAGAACTCATTCTTCTTCCTGTACTGTATGTATAGAGTGAATAAGTGATGAAGATGGAAGAAGGGCACAATTATATACACGAGGAAGAAGGGCACAACGTTGGAGAGTAGGCACACTCGAGCGAGGGGAGTGGACAACCGTGTCACAACTTCCGTTGAAATCAAAGATACAAGCAAAGGTTAGTGATGTTCTGTGTCTTTGAAATGGTGGATGGGTACTAGCGATTTTAGTATTTTTTACAGTTTACGTTTCTAATTGATTCTATTTGTTTTCTGATTTTTGTTTCACACCCACTTGGGTAACAGTTATTCTGAATGCTATTTGTTGCTTCATGGGTTTATATTTGGTTTGCTCTTTGTCTGCTTCATTGTTCTCTTATTCGGGCTCTAAGATCGGCTAATACAATCCGACGAAGTTTATGCTTGATGCCTCACTTTACAATTTCACAAGATGGGTTATGCACTTATGCTATTATCGTTGGCTGCAAATCTAATGATGTTTGACCTTTTTATTCCAGTTTCAAACACCAGATGGACTTAGGCAAAATAGAGCAGTTCTTGTGGAGGGTTGTAGGACGAGCCGAAGAGCATTATGTAATAAGTTTGTCATTGAAAGGTTAAGAATTAACCAATTCCCTCTGTTTTCCTGTGTTGTACCAAAAAACAAAAGAGTTGTGTTTATATTACTTTTAAACTTTTTCTATTGAAAATTTGTATTTTTTCCTCTCATTTAAGCTTGCAGGATTCGTTCTTAGGCATATGGTAAGTGTTCTTTCTTCCTTAACGATTGCAGAATTGTATAAGATCATCATGTTACTGGTAATTAAAATTACCACCATGCTCTTTTACTGTTGGTATCTTCTTTTTGATTTTTGCTTGGTGATGGTGTTGTGTCTTATCTGGTATGAGGCGACTCATAC